AGCTAACTCTTTATACATGGATTCCAATGTACAAAATATATATATATTTAGTGGCTTTGATGCCTAAACTATCACTTTTAAAGTGTTATTTGTCCTCACTCAAATGAGTTTGTGGTCAAGTCAAAAGCAAATCACCCTTACAATATTGAAGATTTCCCTAAAGAAGCTTTTTTAGATAACAACGATGCCTTATAGTTCGAGTGGATGATATGGTTGTTAAACTTGATCTCGAAAAGGCTTATGACAAGTTGGAATGGAGCTTTATTAAAGAAGCCTTAACTTTCTTTAAGTTCCCACCCAGTTTCATATCTCGTGTTATGAGTTGTGTCTCCTCTTCTACCATTTCAATTTTGGTTAATGGTAATAGAACATATGCTTTTCTTCCTTCCAAAGGCGTACGACAAGGTGATCCTATCTCACCCTACTGGTTCATTCTTTACATGGAATACGTTCTATCAAACTTACTAACAATATGGCTAAAGGCAAATGGAAGGGTTTCAAGGCTGGTAAGCGTGGACCTACTCTATCTCATATTTTCTTTACCGATGACTTAATTTTTGTAGGAAAAGTTACCTTTACCAATGCATAGTATCTCAAGGAAACTCTTGATTTCTTCTGTTCTTGGTCTGGGCAAATGGTCAACAATGCTAAATCTAAGATTTTTTTTTTTCAAAAAATGTTGATTAGAACACCAGAGACAACATTAGTCAAAGTTTGGGATACCAGCAGACGAGTGAGCTTTGCAAATACCTGGGCATCCCAATCTTGGCTAAGAGATGCTCTAAGGCTAATTGTGAATTTATCCTTGAGAAAATCTAATCTAAGCTGTCAAGGTGGAAAACTAAATTCTTCTCCATGGCTGGTAGAGCCACTCTTGTTTCATCTGTTCTTGCCTCCATTCCAAATTACTTTATGCAAGTGATGTGGCTTCCCTCATTTATTCATAAAGAAATTGACAGAATTTTCAGGAATTTTTTATGGGGTTCTGTTGATGACCAACCCAAGATTCATCTTGTGGATTGGAATACTATCTATAAACCCAAAGCTCATGGCGGCCTTAAACTTCGTAGTACTCGCAATGCTAACATTGTTGCCATGAGCAAGCTCAATTGGAGGATTCACACAAAAAAGGATAGAATGTGGAGAAAGGTGTTGGTTAGGAAATACAACATCAATGATCTCCATTTTACTCCTTTTTCTTCTGCCTCTCTAGTTCTTAAAAATTTATCTAAAGGTACTCCTCTTTTTACATCTGGCATTAAATGGGTGCCTTGAAATGGATTCTCGACTTGCTTTTGGTCTAATCACTGGGTTGGGAAAGCATCTCTTGATTCTATTTTATTCGGTCCCTTTGCTAGAAATGCCTCCCATATCCTTCTTGCGGATGTCTTCCAAGACGGTATTCTTGATCTTGATACCATTGGTTATCGTATTCCCCATGATTTGATTATGAAAATTCTTGCTATACCCATGTTAAGCTACAATTCTGCTCCTGATGTCTTTTTGTGGAAGGAAGAATCCAATGGTATCTTCTCTTCCTCTTTGACCCCCAAAATTCTTACTATTAAGGATTGTCAGGTGAATGATGGTTGGAAGTGGATTTGGAAAACCCCAACCCTCCCAAAAATCCAAATGTTCTTGTGGTTGCTTGTCCATGGTAGAATCAAAACTCTGGAGTATCTCCATCATCTTAGCATCATCGATAATCTGACTTGCATGATATGTAGGAGACAAACTAAGTCTGTTGATCACATATTCAGAGAATGTCCTCATGTTGTTATTGTCTTCAACAAATTATCTCTTGCTTTTGCTAACATCCATAACGCTATGAACTTTAAGCATTGGCTAGCTAAACCTACTCACAACAACTCTCTTAGCCCGTTTTTCAATATTCCTTGGGTTGTTATTTTTTGCTTTGCTATTTGGGTTCTTTGGAATCAAAGGAACCACTTTTTGTATTGTCAACAAACTTTGGACATTCAAAGGACTCATGATTTAATTATTGACAACGCCACTAAATATTGGGTGTCCATTCTTATTCTAATGTTGCATGTAAGCACTGCCTTAGCTCATTTCCTAGAAACAACCACCCCCCTTTGGTATAAAATTAATACCGATGGTTCTACAATTGGGAATCTATGTTATGCAGGCTATGGGTGAATTCTAAGAGTTTCTAGTGGTTTATGGGTTGTCGTTTTTTTGAGAAATATAGGTTACACTACTGCTCTTGTTGCTAAACTTTGGGCAATTAGAGATGTACTATTTATTGCTAAAAACCTTCAACTGCAAAATGTTATCCTGAAGACTGACTGTCAGGTTGCTTATGCTTTTTTATCAAAAGATCATAATCCTTTTCATCCTCACAGCACACTGCTAATGGATTGTAAGGGCCCTTTGCCAACCATTCCCCAAGTTCAACTGAAACATGTGATGAGGGAAAGCAACATGGCTGCTAATGCTGTTGCCAAAAAAGGAGCTATGGCCCCTCATGGTTTTCATATTTTGGTAGGTTATCCACCAAATGTGGACTTGTTATGTA